GCAGTGAAGCATTTGGGTTCAATTTTTATTTCCATTATGTCAATGCAAGACTTGAATAAAAAAAGAGAACTAAAACTTCTAAGCCTGATGATCCCAAATTAAGACTGAATAAATAATCAATAGCTTCATTCCAGACAAAATTCAAAACAAACATGAACATTAAGTACTCACACAGATCACCTAGAATTAGTTAGAGAATACTAACTGCTCCCCCAAGTAATTACTAGGGAAGTATCCTTTGTGTAAAAGTGACCCTCAACAGGGCTTTTCTTAATAGTATCTGAGACCTTGCAAACACTTCTTTATGTACACGATTAACGCTTACACATCTGGCTGGCCACACTGAATTCGAAGAATAACATATTAAAAGTTACACCTGGGCAGAGGTGCTCATAGGAGCTCAGCTTCACTTCTAGAAGAGCTTTGCAATAGTTTCCTCTTAAGAGACTGGTTTCAAGGAGTACAGAAGAGCCTCAACTATGACTCACATTTACGACAATTGAGACCATTCACTGCTATCAAAACCTGAACCACGTGAGAGATGGAAGGAGAAATGAATTTAGTTATCCTCATATGCAATCCAAATTCAGAAAGAGCAGCCCAGTGAGAATTTAGAGGCTTTTCCTTCCCTGAATCCATCATACTTAAAAACACCTGCAAGAAAATATCCAAAAATATTGTATTCTCCTTTCTACATCCAGAAACTGCAGGATAATGGCGAGCAGCATTACTGTATGATTTAGTCACAATGTCATGCTGAATTTGGTTCTGAGATGAGTCCACATTTTGCTGGGTCTTGAATCAACACTACCCATTTTTGCATCTTCCAGAACATTCATAGAAAACAAGGATTCACAGAAAATGAGATTCTTCCTTTGATACTGTACAATCAATGAATGCACAGATGTTATAGTCATGAAGTATACCAGAAAGCTTGGCTACGCAGTTATTGCACCAAAGCAGAAAAGATAGGCTGCTTATCCATATCCTAGGCTCACTTACAAAACTCCAACAAAGTGGATCTCCAGAAGAGATCCTTCCCTACTCGTAGTCAGCTCTTAAATAGGTCTAGGAGAGGTGGAGCCAGGCTCCACTCCTTCCAGCAGTACAGGTGAATTACCTTCACCTATGCTCCCATGGCTGATTCATTGCTCACCTCAGGTGATCAATCAGAGGTTCAGGCCATGATTCAGTAGTTCCCATACAGAGATATTATATATATATATATTTACATACATATATATATATATATATATATATATATATATTTTTTTTTTTTTCCCCCCCACTGGTATTTTGAGCAAGTGGCTTATTGCAAGAGGGAAGCCCTCTGCTTCAAATGCAGCTGAAAAACATCTTTGTCATTCAGCTGGCACCGAAACCAGAAAGAATTGGTCAACAGGCAGGAGTCGTCTGCTGAACTACATCTGTCTACATCTATGTGAGATGCTTGGACTGCCTTTGTATTCAAAAAACAGCACTTCTCAGATGTGATTCTGCTGACTAAACGTAGATTTCCACTTTAAGAATAGATGAATTACTCTAGAAACGTTCTGCTTCCTGACAATAAAAGGGAATCCAAAGAGCCATATTTCAATAGATGAATCCTACTTTTTCAATGCTGGGTATCACAGATATGATGACACAAACACACCAAATGACCATGCATGGTTTCACTGGTTAGACCTTATCCACTTTGCTGGAAATTCTGTAATTTAGACTGGTACAAGGAAACAAGTACAGTTAGTACAGTTACCATAGACTCCATGCATGGTCATTACAAAGAAAGGGACACCTCTCAGTGGCAATTCAGCCCACATAAAAACTAAATTCTCCCTGGAAATGCCACTATCTCTACAGACTACAGATATGACTTCACCTCTAAATAAGGTGACACAGTGAAGTGCAGTGAGTAAGATACACAGGCTCAGGCTCTCAGTATTGAGAAGCTGGGGGATGCTAAGCAGTCTCATTCCTTTCCTCCCTCCATCCCCAGGAAGGCTTGAAATATTTAGCATCCATTGGATCACACCCTGTTATACCAGAAGAGTTTACTACTGAGTCCTTCACAAAGTACTTTAAATAAAAACAAAACCACACCAGAGGAGTTCAAAAGAATCTGTATCGTGGCCTACATCATGTCTGTCCACCCACAGCTTTGCCAACTGAGGATAAACAAGAGCTGAATGAAACTCTGCAAGCACACACTTCAGTTGGCCACATACCCAACTGAGGCTGGAGCAGCTAAAAATTAGCGTGCAGCCTCTTAAGGTTTAAAAACAGAAATGCAGACCCTCAAAAGAAACAACGATTTCCTTGTTGGCAGTGTGCGCCCTTAACTGACCAGGCGGAACACAGACATAAGATGGCAGACCCGGATCCAGGCCCTCTCTCTCACACACGTCTGTCACTGGAAGAAGTCACCTCATTAGCTGAGGACAGCAGAGCTTCTGCGTTCAACTTCTGCAGGAATACAGGATTTGGCAGCCTCCAGAAATCTGAGCTCTCTATTTTTCTTCCCTTCGTTTACTAATGCCCATTTCCCCTTCCCCGCCTCCCTGCTCCCAACGCACACACGTTTTAATGCTAAAACCCAGCAGTTACATGGCTTTTCCATACTTCTAGGCAAATATTACACACTCTCACTCCAAACTAGGAAGTGTGCCTCTCTACAGAGGTAGCAAACCAACTGCAAGAACACAGTGCTTTATAGTGAAATAATTCAGATTAATCCAAAAAATTACCTGTACATCTCATGCCTTAGGAAAGCTTCAGATCCACCATCTCACACACAAACACACTCACTACAACATTGTGATACACTGCACACCCTTAATGGTTTCTACAGTTACATAGCCACACAGACAATGCAATTAACAAGCAACATTCCTTCCTGTAAAATAGCAGGGAAAAAAATACACAGAAGAAAAGTTCATAGAAATAATTTTGAGCTCAGAAATAAAAACACTAAATTTCAAATTAAATTTCACTATTTACTGTGCCAAAGACTACATAAGCCTGGATTACCTCGGTGCAGAACAGGTTTTCAATCAGTTTGATTTACAAAACATGTTGTGCCCCCCTTATAAGAAAAATGATACCCTATTTACTTTCTTCATATCACACATCAATGCTTTACTAAATATTTTTTTTCAATTTCCATTTCATTTGTTCTGTGTGCATTGAAATCAAAGTCGTATTTTAAAGTTAAATTTGTTTTCTGTTTCTTGTTACATAACCAGAAGTGTTATAGGAAATACTATTGTGGAGTTAAAAAAAAAAAAAAATCATAATTTAAAAATCAAAAAACAACAACAAAAAAAAACAGACACAGACCTCTACATCACAATAATCTGTCAGGTGTCCTGCACTCACTAATGGCAGACATTTAAATTAAAATTACATGTAATATGTAGCCAACTTCCAGGTCTCTGCTGAATGCCACTCCTGTGTTTAACCTCATCTATTGCCGACGAAGAGGTAAGATTTTCCAGGTTAGTAACAGCAAAATTCCACATTGCAAAAAAAACATTGAATGTTGTCATGCAAATAAAGTCTTTCACAGCATCTGAAAACACCCCTCAAATATCAAGATTGGTCTTAAGCAGTCAAACAATAAGAAAATAGGAACAAGAATCTTAATTTCTTGTTGGAGAGCCAAGCAATTTAAAACCAACAACCACATATACCCTAACCGATATCTTCAGAAAGTGATGGTGAATCACTAGAAGTGCTTCTTTCTAATGTAACCAAAAGAGCACACCAGTCACTGTACTGAAGACATTTCATTGCAGAAAGCAAAAACATCCATGGTTGTGAGTGAATTCTATGATCTGGGTGACTTGTGGCACTATCCCTCACCTCCCTCACAAAAAGGGCCACTGACTCCATGATGGAGAACACAGTCATTCCATCTCTGTCTGCTCTCTGCCCAGCTTTACACCTGCCGGACATAAGCATGGTATTTCTGAACACACAGACAGAAAAGAGACACATTTAGATTGCCATCTGAACCCAACACATGCCCCATCAGATCCCATCATAGACTCTAGAGCCACCTGCAACAGCCTGAAACACTGTTCTAAATTCAGTCGGCATTTTCCTCTCTCCTCTGCACTACAGCCACAACCCCAGAGCACCGAGGCTCAGCTTAGTTCATCTGGGCCCGCTTGGTCAAAACATACACAAAGGACAGGAACCACAGGGCCAGCTGAGCAACAAGGAATTTGGCTGCAGAACTCCCTCACACTTGTGTGCATAGCTGATTTTACACCACCCGGCTTCCACATTGATATTATCTTGTCAAAAAGTACCGAGCAGCTTTTCTACCACAAATTCTTGGAGCTCAGAAATTGCAGCAGAGCACCAAGGCTATGGAAAAACCAACTTCAGCTGGCTGCAAAGTGCGCTGCAAGTGCAGCATGTGAAGTCTCAACATGACGCAACCGACATCGCACCAGGGATGAGGGCTCACCAAAGGAAACCAGACCCACGCAAAATCACAACGTATATATAGGTGCCTACAGATCGCTGGCTGCCCAAGCTCAGAATGCCCTGTAAGCAGAGATTTAGATGAGCAGCAGATCAATGAGGCAATACCAACGCTGGCGACAAACAGCAGCGGGAGGGCAGCCTGACCGCCAGCAGCCCCGCCGCTCCCTCAGCTCCCCACCCTGCCCCTTCCTCTGCCCTTCCCCTCACCCCTCTCAGAGGTCAGCGTGGGTAAGGGTTACAGCCCTGCTGATGCCAGCCCTTCGAGGCAGCAGGCTGGCCTAGGCGCCCAGCATTTCTGGGCCACGGGAGGCTCCCGGCTGCCCACCGCCCGGCCACCTGCAGGCCTCCGCCGCCCTACCTTGCTCCTCGCCGGCCCCAAAACAGGCTCTGGGGTCCTCGGGGGGGAGCTGGGCTCCGCCACCCTCCAGGGCTTTGCGTTTCTTCGACATCTGGTCGGTGTTTGGGAGTGGAGTTTCTCCTCTCTCTCTCTCCGGGGAGATGAGTGTATGTGGAGAGAGAGGGAGAGTGTGAGAGAGAGACACGGGAAGGGAGAGAGAGAGATTGAAAGAAATCGCTGCTTAAAGAGAGGGGAAGAGACTTTGGAGTGGCTGGAGAGCAAGTAGGAGGCAGGGACTAAGTGGAGAAATCCTACAAATCACAATCCCATCAATGCAGCCCCACGTCTAGAGGGGCTGCCTGGGTCCCCCCCCTTCCTCGCTCGCTCATCTGAATGTGTGCGGGTGAAAATCGGAGAGGCGACATCCTCTGTTGTTTTGCCAAATGTTAACGGGTGGTGCTTTTTTTTATTGGGGGGAGGAAGGGAAGGGGGAGGGAGCTGACTGATATTATTTTCCCCTGTTGGGATTCCTTCTGGTTAAAAAAAGAAAAGGAGGAGGAAAAAAAAAAGGTAAAAGCTGAATGGATTGGGGGGGGGGGGGGGGAAGAACGAGTGAATTAAAAAGAAATCCGGGAGCCGAGGAGGAGGGATAACAAGCGCCTGCAGGTGCAGAGAGGCTCGTCTCCCTGCAGGGGTCATGTGCGTAGGGAGCCGGCAGCCGGGGCTCCCCGTGGCCGCGGCGGTCGGGCGAGGGCGAAGGCGAAGGCGAAGGCCGGCGGCGGAGGGCCGGGGCGCGGTGAGCAGCCAGCCTTGCACCTGCGGGAGCGGCGGAGACCTGCTGGGAACGTTCACGAACAACTCGGGCATCGCAAACTCCGCCGCGGAGTCGGTAGCCCCGCAGTCAGGCGGGCGGCTCGGTCCCTCGGTAACCCTTTCGGTGCCGGCAGCGAGGTGCGCCGCCGTCCCCGGGGCTCCCGTCCCTCCCCCCTCCGCCACCTGTCCCCGTCCTGGCGGGTTTCGAGGCTCGCTAGCGGGTAGTTTTCGCGGTGGGGGGGGGGAGGGAAGGACACAACTTACCCTGCGAACTATGCACAAGCTCGTCTCTGCTTTCCCCGTCAGATCAACTTTAAAGAGCAGATTCTCAGTCCGGGAGGCAAAGAGGCGGGGGAGGAGAGGGGAAATGGCTTAGGAACAGCGGCTGCCGAGCGGGTGAAGTTCGGGGCACAGTCCTGGCTCTTCCGTGCTCCGGCAGCCCAGCATCTTCCCGGGGGTCGGAGAGCAAGGTGTTCAACAGGTCGTCCTTGGTACCCAAAACTGATGGATGATGGCTTTCCCGCCTGGCTGCATTTAACAGAACGATGCAGAGCTACTCTGACGAGCAGGAAATTTTAGAGAAGCTCGCTGTGCAGCAGCGGCTTTAAATTAGCTATTTCTGGCTCTCTATATGCATACATACAAACACACATACACACGTACACCTGTGTATATGTATATGCATATATAAATAAAAATATATAACGGTATCAATGCAGTGCTGGGTCCACAGGATCTTAGGAAAGCCTGCCTGCCGGCTGCATGGAAGTTAAAGAGTTTTTCTTAAGCAGAAGGGGCTGATGCTTGGACACATCTCACGTCCAACAGGAGGCAATGACGTCTGTAGCTTCATTGCTATAACAGCACCAAGGCTGCAATTGCCATTCACTGAAATGATAAGGGGCGCTCAGACGTAAGCAGTCTGGACCTCTAGCAAGAGACTGAAGCGAGGAGGATTTTTCCCCTCCCAAAACAAATAATAAATGCTAAAAATCACCTAAGGAAAGAGACGGGGGAGCAGGGAAAGGAATCTAGGTCTCTCAGTCACACGCTTTTGCAACATGATCCTCCAGCTCCAGAAACATTTATTTTTTGCAGCTGACGAGACTTTGGGAAATTTCAGTGTATTATGATTGCTCGGTGGGTGGGGGGAGTGCGCGGGGGGGGAAGGGGTGGGAAAGATTTTTTTTTCCCTTAATTATTTCTGTCTCTCTCCAAGCAGGCACTGATGAAAGCCGGGAAAAAGTGCCCTCCCCCCGCTCTCCGCCCCCCCCCCCCCCCCCCATCTCATATTTCCTAACGTATTTAGGACCGTGTACACGCTGAAGTGTTCCCGGTGCACAGCTAGGGCTGAAGTAGCAATTTCTTGCCGTATAGCCTGCAGGGGTCTGTTTGTTTATTTATTTATTTATTTATTTATTTGGGGGGGTATTTATTTATTTATTGATAGCATCGGAAGGTGCTTACAAAGAAGAGAAATAAAAGCCGACTCGAAGCAGCCGGCTCCTTCCCACGCGGGGTCACGCTCTCGCTGCCCCGTTTTTACCCGTATATGGGGAGAGCTGATGCGGTGCCCGTGTGCCGCCAACCCTCTCCCTCCCCACCAAGCGCCGTCCCACAGATGACGGCCCGGGCACTCAGTAGGCTCGGGGTCGGCGGCACGCGGCTCCCGCTCGGCAGCGGGCACGCCGGCACCGCTCCGCGTTCCCGCGGCGGGCAGCGCGCCCAGCCCCGCCGCCGCGGGGGGAGCGGCGCCTCAGCCGCGCGCTCCGGCTCCCGTGCGCCCCCCTCCCCCGCGCCGCCCCCGTAGGGAGGGCCGAGGGGAGCTGGGGCCGCCGCGTGCTGGCAGCGGGACGCCGCGCGGGTGGGCGGGGTGCGGTGCGCGATGCGCGGGTGTGGGGATCTCCGGCGGAGCCGCAGCGTGCGGTGTGCGGTGCTCATCCTGAGGGGAACCCAAAGCCGCCTTCCTGCTGGTTTTGAGCTGGACGAGGAGAAACCCAATACCGAGCCGCTAGTGCGGTCGGGCCCGTTTGGGTTGGGTTTTTTGGGGGGGCTTTTTTTTTTTTTTTTTTTTTTTTTTTTTTGGAGAGGCTCCATATGTGCTGCTTTCTGTCCTCTCACTGCACTCCCAGCCCCTCACTTTCCTTTCAGCAGCCTTCCAGTCTGGGAGGCGGCTAGTTTGGCCTCCAAATGACTGCGTGCATTAAGTGGCCAGTTGCCCAAACCATTCAGCCAGCTCCTTGCTGGAACAGTTTTACATACGGGTGATGTAAGTGCTATCACTACAAGCCTGAGTCAGGTTCAGTGTCTGCTGGGAACACTCACAAGGTGCTGACTCCTTTCTTTTCTTTAAGTTTATCTTGGTGAGAAGGGAAAGACAGAAAGCAGTGCCAAGCAGAGAGAGGATGTGTAACCACTCTGTCTCTATGGATGTTAAATTTGGCATTCATGATGGCCTTTGATGTATCTGTTATCTCCCACACAAGGCTTTGGTAATGTGGCTGCAAAACAAAGGAGGAAGCTTTCAAACCATCAGCGGGAGATGCTTTCTTAGATAGTAAGATGCTTATTTTTGTGAATGAATCGTGGAGGTTTTCAGGACCTAGTAGCACATCCCTTCCCCTCAGTGAGATGCCCTAAAAACTTACACAGAACAGAACTGAATATATTTGCCAAGTTTTAGGTACAATCCTATACTATTACATGTTTCCTTTTAAATACTACATTTATATATAAATATCACCTAGCCAACATGTAGAGATTGATACTCTACACAGTATAAGACATTGCACTATGCCACTTCTGTGGTTTAGGAAGTTCCCACCGAGATCTGCCTTGACACAAGTGTTTCCACTAAGTTACTGTCATGCTGGCAGATCATGTTTTTATTGGGAAATGATGGAAATTAGGAGTGGAAATACAGAGCAGATCATTGCCTGGGGGTGAACATGATAATTCCATAAACAACAGTCTCTGAGGCCATACCAAGTCACGCTTCCACTCCCTGCGAGATACTATTCCATCTGATTTGATCTTGTGGAAGAAAAGCTTTCCATTATTCCCGAGCACTCTTTTTGTTTAACTTCTTCCCAATACATGCAACAAAATTTGGGCTGTTCCAAGGAGCTATCTTCTCCGTAAGTTAAACTATGATGCACAATAGGAAAGAAGGAGGAAGATAAAAAGGCAGTGCCAGTTTCCATGTTCTATAACAAGAATGGCTTTCTTCGCTCTCAGTCTAGAACTGACTCTGCACGTCAAAACTCTCTGAGACCATCTCAGAAGATGAATGGGAGAAGGCAGCATGCTGCTGATGTGGTTGTAGAAAGTTTTTGGGCTGGTGATAACAGGTCTAAAATAATTTACAAAGGTTCTTTGCACTTTTTTTTTTTTTAATCTGTATCACTATTAATTACTTATCTTTTTATATAAGAATTCTACTGCTTCTCACTCCTAGCTCCATGTGAATCCTGCCTTCCTTCTCTGCCTGGCACTCTGATTAGCTACCCCTCAGGCCTTAAGGAAAAAAGTACAGTAAGGTACTGAGAGCTCTCTTATTACTTCATTTTTCATGCTCTGAAAAGTAATTAATTTCTATGCACTTTCTCCTTTAAATGCTATCCACTTTCAGTGACTTTGGTAGCTTCCTTTGGATAGGATGATGTGAAACTGTTCTCTTTTTGTGGATTGGGCAACGGACTGCTTATGTCACCTAACTGAAGCAAGTGGCATTCAGTGCACTAAGTCTCAAGTCTTTCCATTAGAAGAGAATAAGGCCCTGACCTAAGACTTGGGAAGGTAAATAGAAATCCCTGGTGTTGCATTCATCGGGCTCTAGAGAAGCCCACAATTGGGATTCCAGAGCCAGGCCTTATGACTTGTAGTTACTAAACACAGTTGCACTCTGAGACAGACCTGAAGCACTTTCAGGCTTACAGATTTGGACTAGGTATTTGCCTTACACGAATCAATAACTGAAATCGTCAGGCAAAACACCTTCAACAAATATAACTCAGTTTGCAAACACTTTTTGCTTTATTTTTTAAGGCACTGCCAGCCTAGCATGTCAATCATGTTCACAAAGAACCATTCGTGATGGTTTTCAGTGACTAGTCTGTCTGAATTTGAAAGGGATATAAAAACAGAAGTTTGGAGAAGAAATAGTGCTGGTTAAGGCAAATCTGGTTCTGTACAATATATATTGTGCAAACTCAGCAAACACCAAAACACAGAAGTCTTAAGACCTAGAGGTGCAAGTCTGCCTTCTCTTACTGTTTTTCTCTCACAACCAACTCAGCCTGGAATTATTCAACCTTGAGATATTTACTAATACTTAACAAGCAGCACAATGAGAGAATCAATTCTCTTTCATGCAGTGCTATACTAACACTTCTTCTGAACAGCTTGTGTTTTTTTCTTTGGGAGCTGACTTATGCAGCAGCGCTTCAGATACTGTAAACATCTGTATCAATAAAGCCCTCTCTCAACTCAAAGCACTTATTTTGGTTCATGTCCCTGTACTGTGAATACACTCCTGCACATCTTGACAGAATACTTAGCATTTACATAGCATTTGTTTTTGCCTTCAAAGTGATTTGCTAGCATGAACTAATGTATCCTTACAACACCCAGAACAGTTGGTAAATTTTATTATCTTCATTTTATAAATTGGGAAACAGCAGTAAAGAGGTGATGAGTATGTTCTACTGTCTTTACTCACATTTATTACTGCCTTAATCCATGGCTAGTTCTACTGCTTTCAGTGGGAACTCCTGCACTGTAAGGTACTACTTGATGTGACTGAAGATCATGGTGTTTTCCTCTAAGAGATTTAAGCAAGGCCTCAATGAGACTTTTGTGCAGGTTCAGAACTCAAATATCTTGCACACTCTTCTGCATCATCCACTTTACCAATTTAAAAACAAAACCCAGAACATACCAACATATCTGTCACTTTTCCACCCCACAAGCTAATCTGTAAGGTAATAATGATCAAGTAACCCCACTGCACTGACATTACATACAAGTTGACACATAGCACAAAGAAAACTTGCAAGACTGAGACAGTTCCCAATTTCTTATGCTACATAAATGACCACTTTTTTGATCTTGTAATTTAACAATGCAAAAGAGAGGGGTGAAAGATGCTTTTAAGTTTCATATGAAATTCAGCACTGCTGGGAAGATGGTATGAGGTCAGTTTCAAAATAAAATGCCTCTGGAAAAAAAAAAAATCTTTCAACATGAAATGTGTACTCGAACTTCATGACATTCATTTTGTATTTTAAAAGAAGAGATGAAGATCAGTACATGAATCTAAAGAGGTTTTGCTGAATTTGCACTTATAAGTTAGAGGGAACTGGGTATTTTTACCTTGAAGAAAAAAGTTATTTTATCCAATTTTATACAAATACCTCATACTTGTTCAACACGTATGGCCAAGTCTTGATCCACGTCTCCTCATAAACCATAATTATGGTATTCTATCAAGAGATACTACTTGCATTGTAGCATTTTTAATTGTGAGAATATGGTGGCTGATTTTTGCAGTTTAAGACAACCAATGTTTAGAACTATGAATTTGATGACTAGATTTTCACATAAGTCCCTACTGGGAAGGATGGAAGTGGTCAGGGTAGCAGTTACTGCTTAAGCTGGAGAGGAGGAGTACTTCTCCCTACCCATCCCCCTCCATCTTCCACTGATTCTGTGATTCCAGTGGCAACAACATATATTCTCCAGATCTTTCTCCTCATTCCCTATCTCTATTCCTACTTTCTCCTCTACTCCTATGGCAGAAATTTCCTAGCACCCCTGCTGTCAGGATGTAAAATCCAGAATCA